TTCTTATTTATTTGGTACTAGGTTCTTTTTTTATGAGTTTTTATTTTATTTTATTTTGAGTTATAGTCAGTTTACAATGTTGTGTCAGTTTCCAGTGTAGAGCACAATTTTTCAGTTATACATGAACATACATATATTCATTGTCGCATTCTTTTTTACCGTGAGCTACCACAAGATTTTGTATGTATTTCCCTGTGCTATACAGTATAGGTACCACGTTCTTTGTTAGCTCAAGCTTGTTAATTTTTGACAGATGCAACTGGTTGCTTATCCAAAAAACATTCGCCCCTTGCTGTTAGAACTATTGGTATTTTTTTTTTTTGCACATTAGATGGAAATATTTTCAGAAAAGATGAGTCTAGCCCCAAAGGATGAATCATGTTTGGTCTAAACTAATCAAAGGAAAATCAGCTGAGGGCTTCTGAAAGATCTTCCTCCTAATAAAAAGAGAACAACCTGAGCCTCCTTTCCTGCTTGCTTTTGGATGTTGTTCTGTGAGAAAACGATATATGGAGCAGTAGTAGCCATTTTGCAACTATGAGAGGAATGCCAAGAGAATCACAAAGATGTCTTTTGTAAACCTTACCATTCAAGTAAGTTTGTTCTTAACATTGTTACAGTGGTGCCTCTACTTCAGGGATCGTGGAGCTGCTGAGTTTGTAGAACTCCTCTCCAATTAATTTTCTATTAACAAGGCTGAAGTCCTAGTTTGTAAAAATCAAAGTAGAGACATGTTCACATTTTCTTAAGGAAACTCAGGACTCAGCATTATGCATAAACTTCACAGGAAAAAAAAAGTTGTATATAGCAAGACCTGCCCAAAAATACCAGTTTGCTCCTCAGTATAAAATTAAATTCCTGATAAACTGTAGGCTATTGCCCTGCTTAATGTTTGCTGGGACATCTACCCAAAGCCAAAATTATGACACTTACTTGTCTTGATGAAAGTCAAGCATTTAAAAAACAGTTATTTTTCTCTTTAAAAACTAGCTTTATTTAAAAGAATCTGAAGCATAACACTGATAGGAAACAAACTTACAATACATATTGTTTAAGAAAGCCTGCCATACATAATTTCTACTAGTAGTAGGTCTATAGACTGATAAATAACATTCTTTATACAATGCACAAATGACAGCATGATCCCTGAAAAGAATAGCCAACAATAACATGGACTGTTTTGATAGAACCTCTACTTGTCTCACTACTTATCTAGAGTAAAAAACTAAAATGTGGGAGATAAGTTAAACTCCCCAATTTTAAATTCTAGTATGGTGTTTAAGAAAGAAGGAAAAAGGACACGAAGGAAAAAATTATAAGAGTTAAATATTTTAAAAAGAACAATGAGAACTGGCTTACTACTACTTATTATAATTATTAAAAAGTAATTCAGAATTGAGAATTTTTTGGTTTAACATTTGGAAGCTCTTAGACAGTCAAACTATAATATATCTACTATATTCAATCAGTCACCAAGCCAATTTTATTTCTCCAAAAACAGTAACCTGCACATTGACCACATAAGAAAATGAACAATTGGGGGAAACCTAGTTATTTCCTACTTTATTCAAATTTTTTCACAAAGCAACTCATGAATCATTTAAACCTTCATGATCCAAATAGAAACAGACCCAGTTCTAAAACACTGTATCTGAAAATACCAGAAAAAAAATCCCTAACACGTAAAACTAAATTTTTAATACAAAGAAGCCCATGAAAACATTTGGCATTCAAGTAAAATACAATGGGATTATGACACAGTATGGTATCTGGCATTTTTAAAAATATTGAGAACGGAATCAGATTTATTGCTATTTCAGTTCTACCAATAGCTGACAATCAAATGTATAAAATACACCACAGCAACCATGCCAAAAATGATGCTGTATGGAGAGACATTAGCATAACAGCAGTAGACATTTATCTTGTAATATACATCACTGATACCGTAAAACCTGGTTAATTCAGGATAGTCTAACTTGGTAAAAGTCTAAAAATTTGAATATTTTAAAAAGATATGCAGTTTAAGCACTCTCACAAGCATTCTTTTTTTTTCCTGTTAGCCATGTAATTTCAAATATACAAATTTGAAGTATTATCTATTACAATTCTTTTGGGTACTTGGTTTAATGACAAAAGAATGCTTTTAAACTAGCATTTTGAAATAAATGCCCCTAAAAAGCTGAAAATTTTTTCAAGGTTAAACATTTTTTTCTTTAAAATCTTGATTATGACTTTTATTAACAAATGTTTTCATCAGATAGTACAAAGTAACCACCATTCAAGTCCATGTATCAATGGTTACAAATTCTAAGTAAATTAGAGGAGTTTTACAGTATTTTAGTAGTTTCTTTATAAATAAAGATTAACATTACTACTTATTTTGGTTCTGGTGGAGTGAATATCTTTTTGGGTTGGAAGATATCAGAATAAGTTCAAGGTCTAGCAGATAATTTTAATGGTATCGGCTAAAAAATCCTTATCTGCACTGTCAATTAAGAGAATAATTCCTTAGTAAATGATAACTGTAAGAGAAACATCACATTTTTAACAAGTATTTATTGTATTATGAGTGATATGAATTGCTAACACCAAATTTTACCCCTCTCTCCCAATTCAAAGACATCAGGCCTTCTAGTAATCCATAAATATTGATGTCTCACATACTTCATAGAGTAGCTTAAACATACCAGCATAAGAAATTATTAGTATTACATAGTAATTTCCTTTGCCATAGGAATAAATGTTGGACAAAGTCTGGAAACATTTTATGTTCCAATTTGAATTACAGTAATTTTGCCACAGACCACAGCACTAGTGCATGTGTTAACTTCAGACATGCTCTAAGAACAAAACAAAAATTTACTGCAAAAATACATGTCACCAATGTGGAACACACTCAGATTTGTATAAAAGTACTGAACTAATATCCCAAAAAGAGGTATATGTAAGCAGTACATAAGGAAGAAATAGTTTTAATATGAAACAGTCATTTAAGTCACATACATCATGATAAGAAGCAGGACTTTCTTTTATAAAAGATATTTTAACTAACAAGCAACATCATCTACAGAACAAGGAAAGTACAGATATTTAGAAGATTTTAATATAATTACAAGCAATGCATTTTGACAAAATATGACAAAGATGAAGCTTATGCATTGGGTTTCATGAAAAGTTTTCTTCCCTTCATTTGCCCTACACATCTTGTCTTGGGAGATACTGCCATCCCTAGCCTCTTTACTCCAGGGGTGCTTCTAAACTTCCATCACTGAGCTGGAAAAATACAGATGTGACTTCTATACCGCTTTATCAGCTACATGAAACAGAGGAAAAGGGGAAGTTACTAAAATTTGGAAACCTCTGAGTTCAGAAGTAGAGGAAAAGCAACTGTGAAAAGTCTCAACAATCTAAAGGAAACTGGGAAGTAGTCTCAAGAACGTATCAGTCAATTTGATCAGTAAATACTGCTTCCCATGGTGCCTGAAAAGTGGTCACACTGTCTGAAATCTTAGGTACTAAAGATTCATTCTAAATAAAGTCTTTTAAAAAAAGAAACTTAATCCCACTTTCTTCACTGTCTTTGTTCAAATCTTGCTGGAAAACACTTTTCCCTTGAAATCTAGCCAACCACAGCCAACAGAAATGGGAATTCTGATTAGAAGAACTATGAAATTTTGAAGTACAGAGCATCCAGGAAGCAAAAAGGCAAGTTGGTTTTATGTAGCATTCCATTGGGGAAGTTTGGGATGGTAAGAGGGTAAGTGGGAAACACTCACACCAAAGAACTTAACCTTCCTCAATTAAATCAGAAAAAAAGGGAAAGACCTCTGCTTCTTTCTCCTTCCTACACTGTTTCCTTAAAGAAAACTGAGCACTCAGCATGATACTATTGGCTAACTACATGATGGTTGAAATAAGGCTTTATGAGCTTCCTTAAGAATCCAATCATCTTGTACAGAGTTCTAAACCATTATTTACAAATGAACTTTGGAAATCTGGATGCTTTTAATTAAATTTTTAATTAAAAAAATCTTAAATAGCACAAATGTTCATGCCTATGAAACTTCTATACACTGCAAAAAAGAAATTCAAAAACTCTCAAGCTCCCTTTAAAAGTCATTGCTTATATATATTATACAATTACTATAGTACGTTGGACAGTAAGTACTAGCACTCAGTTTGTTCAAGACAAACAAATATGAAAGAATGTTAGAAGACTCCTGATACTTGTTTTACCTGGATTATTATAGTCAGCAGATTTCATGGTGACCTGCTAACGTTTTTTTTTTCCTACCACTAGGCAGAGTTAGGAGTCTTAAAAACACACACACACACATAAATCGGATTTCTTTATATTGTGTTCATCTATGAAGAGTAACCACTAGTACAAGAAAATCTTCAGTTTTACGTACATAACCTTCTAATTTGGATAACAAGGATCATAATCGCAGTACTCTAAAATATTTCACACAAAAGGAAAACACGGATCACAAGTCTAATTCTAAGCACTCTATCTGAAGAACAATTTATTTTTCTTTTACAAGCTAATCTGTTTTAGTATTAGTGAGTCCAGTAGCATCTTGAAGCAAGTGGACCAGGAATTCTCTAGTGAAATGAACAAAGCAAGTTCTGAGAAAGGAACTGATGCTTTAAAATTTTCTATCAGTAACCCAGCCTTGATGGGAGAGCCTAGCTATTGATAGTTAGCCATGTTGAACTTTGGCAAAACTTAAGAATGCAGGAGAAACCCCAAGATTTCCTGCTTAGTTCTTTGTTGATATGTGTGCATGTGAGAGTAGGCCTTTCAGTGAAGGAAAAGGATTACACTCCCCAAAAAGGTGTAATGCTGCTGGAAGATTATTCCACCTGTGTGTATTTCTTTCCCTCACTGAATATTTTTAAATGTTTAGGGCAGCTTGTCATTTGTCTTAAGAAAGCCATACCAATTTGTATAATAGCCTTCTCTGAGTCAAATTAGGCAAATATCTGGCCATTCTTATAGCTCATCATTTTCCCTACCCAAAAGCATCCAGATAACTTTTGACTAAGTGTCATGTAGAGACAAATATAGAACTAGTAAGAAAATTAATTCAAATACATGAAAACATTCATCAGCTATGACTGTAGTCTGCCTATTGTCAGAATCAACCATGGGTTTTTCTTTTGAATATTTACAGCTTCTTACTTAAGTAAAGTGCTCTGAAGACCTAAATACATGAATTAAAAAATCACTTGTTTCTAGGTTTTTAAAAGCAACGACTTGGAAATGGAAAATGAACAAATCATATTATAAGCCAAGTATTTTTAGACTAACTTGGGAGAGGTTATTTCATTCTCACAACCAACTATTAAAACTGTAAGCAGTAGAGGGCTTAAGAAACTGCACACTCATCTTTAGCAGTGAGCACAACTCAAGTCCTACCACGAGAAGTGTTAACTCCTGAGGACATTGGAAGGTTCTACTCAGTCTCTAACCAACTGTATTCGGTCATAAAACATCAAGATCTGATGCTAGGACTGGGCATATAGCAGTCAGTGCACCATTTCTAACAAATCAGCACTCACAAGATTTCAAAAACAACATAACTAGGTCCTTAAGCATTTAGACAATTATGTTAATGAAAGCTACAATGTTAAGCAAAATGTGACCTTCGAGTATGCTGCTGAACACATCAAATGTCAAGAGTCATCCAAAACTACTGCATTTTAACCTGCTTCAGCTGGTAAAGTTTTCACACAAAGGAGTACCTAGTATTAGAATTTGTATCATTTCATTTCCTAAAACCATAAAGACACATAGCTTATAACTGTATTTAAAATATTTTGTACTCATCTCTAACTAGTCACAGGCAAATGGAGAAAACCTTATATTATCTTGTACCATACGAAATTGCTGTTTTGTAGGTCAAAATTAAAACAATGCATTTTAAAAAGTAAGTTTTATTCAATCAAAATACACATAATGAGCATTAATACTTTTCTTCTAATAGGATATTAAATATTTCATTCTAAGAAAATTCATCGTTGGGCTCTGTAAATTGTTCAAACTCTCTAATTCCTATTTCTCAGCTGGAGAATATATTGTTTCTTAGAAAAATCTCCAAATGATGAAAAAGATGGCAATTCACTAGACAAAGTTCTGGTGACTACGATAGACACAAACTTTAATAGCTCAATTCAATGAACTTTGCTTTAGTGGCTTGTGACATGTGAAGTCAAGTGCTGTCATGTCAAAGTGTTGGGTTCATGTTTATTAACCAAAGGACATTTAATCAGACTTTTCCTGCATAACTTAAATTTCTTGGCAATATTGCTGCCACTGTCATTTCACCAAGGTTTAAATGGTAGTAATTATCCCTTCTGCAGATCACCATATGGTCTTCAGAACTTTTTCGGTCACAATGATAATGATGATTCAAGTTTGGGAGCTTCATCAATATCCAATCATTTACATAAATTATTATCAACTGTTATAGAGTATCTTTTTTTTGGTCACAGATTATGATCCACTCCAAAAATGGGTTTCTGCTATTTTGACTCTTAATTCAAGCACCTCCAACTGTCTCCATTCTTGATCATCTCTCAAGAGGATACTCTCAAGTCCATATTTTACACTTTCCCAGTCACAGCAGAAACTCTTTGTCGATTGGAAGGCCTCGAATTGTTGTGAGTTAGTGCTCACCTTAGCTCTTCATTGATTTTTGCTTAAAATGGATTTTGAATTCCCCTGAGGCTCATTTTTGAATTCAGATCCCCAGAACAAGATTTTTTTCAAACCACCACTGAGTGGTTCTTTTGCCAGCAGAGCTCTCTAAGACCAAAGTGATGTTTCTACCTATCTTATTTGCATATGTCCCAGTTTGAAATGATATTAAGAAAAGTATTCACAATTCTTCTGAGGATACTGTATTATTTATTTCTCTGGAAAACAGTAACAAAACAACTCCATAATCAAAGAAAACTGAAAACTGAAGAGCAAAATACTTTTATATTTCTAAATAGCACAACTAAAAACATACTTTATGACAACTCTACTAATTGTAGTCAATTTCAACTGATCTAACATTAGCAATTTCATGTGGTACAGTCCACAAGTTAATCAACAAATACTTATTGAATATCTATTATATGTTAACATCTGTCTCATATCTGTACAGATATCCTGGAAAGACTGACTTGAAAATATGAAAGTCACTAACTTCAAGGACCCTAGTACGGGAGGAATTTGGTGCCATACTCTATTATTTTTTAAAACATCCATTAAAATGTATGCTTTCTTCCATGTTTCAGCTACCTATATTCTTTCTGAAAACATGTTAAATGGATCCTTAAATATTTTTTTGAAATAAATGTTTAACTTGATATTGCCAAAGTTCAGCACTGAAACACAGTTGACCGTTGAACAACACAGCTGTTAGGGGTGCCAACCCCTCAATGGTCAAAATCTGCCCACAGTTTTACAGTCAGCCCACCGAATCCATGATTCCCCATCCTCAGATTTAACTAACCATGGATCACATAGTACTATAGTACATGTTTACTGAAAATAATTCACAGATCAGTGGACCCATGTAGTTCAAACCTGTGTTGTTCAAGGGTCAACTGTTAAACTTTTCAAAGATTCTAACTTTTAGAAGTCAAAACTTGCCTACATTTGCTATATATTATTTTGAAGCTTCAAGAGGCTTTTTTGTTTATTATTAACAACTAACATTTATTTGTATAGTATTTTCTAGTGCACCCTCATATACATTATTCTTATTTAAGATAGCAAACAAGGACAACACAGTTTGCACTAGCAATGAAGTGGGATATTAATAAAAACAAAAAGATAAATAATCTTTTTGTGTGTGCATTGGAAAAAAATGTGAAACACTAAAATCCTGTGTCACTGAATCTCCGTAACACACAGGGGGAAAAAAACCACTGTAGTTAATGCCCGTGATTAAGCATCACTGCCCACTGCAGGTGGACCAAAAGTCTCTCTAGTGCGCATTAACTGAACATCTTTGTCAGCCATACAGGTATCACAGCCCCATACCGCTGATGCTTCTGCTGTTAGGAGGCCATAAGCTGTTTCAGTCATTCCAGTGCAGATCCGATGAAACCACTTCTGACAAGAGGCTTCACACAGGATAGCATCCTGATCATCATTCACTTCATTTGTACAAATTCCACAAGGATACACTGGGTCAGAGGAAGAATGGCCATGACGGCTTGGGTGGAGAGAGGATTTATTGCTTTTCTCAGTGGTGCATGTATCTGCAGCACCTCTAGGTTGTCGTGGCTTATTCTGTGTCCCATTTGCATGGCTGTTGTTTGTAGCTTCAGTGCTACTTGAGCGGCTGTTCTCTTGGTTTACTGCATTGTTTCGATTAACATTTTTTAATTCAATATTACTCTGATTCACTGTGTCATCCATATTTAAGTGAGGTGGATGAGCAGAGGAATTTTGATTAGTGTTTTTGGTTGCTCCTTGACTAAAGTCTTGTTTTGGGGGTGGTGCTTTTGCTTGACCAAAAGTGTTTGGGGGAGGAATAAAAGAATGATTAGATTCTAATGGAGAACTAAAATTTGAATTATTTCCAGGGACAAAGTTAGACGCCAAGTCAGGGTTAGATACTTGGCTTGCATTCTGTGGAGGAATCTGATTGAAGTTTTCAGCAGGATTTTGTCTAAAATGTTGATTAGGCATGTTAACATTCTGACCTAGTGCATTATTATAAGATGGATTTCCAAAACTTGAATTATCGTGTGGCCCAAAGTTAAAAGCATGAGGTCGATTAAAACCCATGCCCAAAGGATTCTGAGGAAATGGGTGTGGCTGATTCCTGAGTGAGTAAGGACCACAGTATGGGGAAGACATTCTTGGAGGAACGTGTGGTGGCATTCTGAATGTGCTATAGCCTCCAAAGCCAGGGTACCCAGGGCCAAGATACGGATTTGAAGAAGGTAGTGGTTTATAGGAAATAGTATTATAATTGTCATCAAATGGATTAGCAGCTACTAGATGGTCAGAGTTTGGATTCGGTGGCGGAGCATACTCAGACAACGGAGGAAAAGAAGGCCCCTGAAATGAGAATGTAAAGTAAAATACATGTTTTTGATCAAATAAGCCATTAAAATGGTCCTGTTAACACTTAGGAGCCTAGCTTTAGTTAAATTTCTCTTGAAGTGTTACAAAAATTTAATTCATTTAGAAATAAGGTATGCTCTTTTGAGTTCAAATCGATTGTTACAAACTCTAAAAATATTCAACCCTCAAAAGAAGCTTCATTATAATAATTTTTCATTTAATAAGCTTACCTATAACTCCAGAATCATTCACTTAAAATTTTAACTAAAAATACCTTTTACACCTTCAAACAGCCATAAAATTAAATAACAATAAACAGAATCTAATTCTTTTTCCCTAGCTTAACTTTGGGAGTAGCTATTAGGGTATTCCCAAAATACTAAGCTCTAGGCCTCAGAATGGAAAAATAAACGGCCAGTTTTAGTCACACTGCAAGTTTAACACATGAAACTTAAAGTAAAGAAAGTAATCTGTACACACTTCATACCTATTTTCAGTCTTTATAATAAAAAGAGTACTTCAAATTTATACAGGATAAAACCAAGAAAGTCTGTATTTGTAACTGTTTATTACAACCACAGGTTACAGACAAAAGATGCCTCCACCATGACTATTTCATGATACGTACATCCTACTGATTTATTGCAATAGCTGAACATCACTCCAGGTTAAATTTGTATCCATATATTTTTAAATCTTTTAGCAAAACTACAGGCATCAATTCCTTTTAAATTAGATTTAAGAATAAGCATTTTAATTCATCTGCCTATACTTTCTTCTCACAATATTCACCCTAGGCCTACGTCAAATAATAGCCACTAGTTGCAGAGTTAAAAACAAAAAACAATCACTGCAGAATTCACTACTAGGTTCTGAATGAGGACAGGAAACAAAACCCATGACCTAAGTTAAATTCACCTAACAGCCTAAGCATATCAGTGAAGAAAAACTGTTATTAAAGAAAATACCAATTTACCTGTGTGTTTGTCTTGCGTTTTTTCTTATCTGGGCTTCCTAGTTGTACACCTGGTCCTCCTAACCCATCCAGTCCACTATCACCACCTAAAAATAAATAAATAAATCCAGATAATATTTCTACTTGTAAGGGAAATTTTGTAGCTCTCATAGCAATATCTATTATAGCTACCCATTCATATGCTTTCTATTTTTTTTTTACTAGGTAAAAGCAATACTAAGCTTTTATTATCTTTGTTCTTCAAAAAAATCTTCCCCATAATCTCAGCCAGAAACAGTAATTCACCTCTACTCCCATAGCATTTTTTTATTATTCTTCCAGTGATTAAGCCTCCATCCCACTCCCAAACCTTCAGTCATCCGGTTCTCCGTCCCTGAGGCAACCACTGTTGGTAGCTTCTGGTCTATCTGTCCAAAGATAATCTAGATAAATCCCAGTATAATATCTTTTCGGAGTACACAAACGATGGCACGCATACCCTGCACAATGGCCTGTACCTTGCTTTCCTACTTGGAAATCACTCCATTTCATTGTGTATAGTACGAATTAGTAGTTATCTCATAGTATGACTGTGCCATGATTCATTAAAGTAGTCCCTTCCCTACTGATGGATATTTCGGTGGTTTATAAACCTTTGCTATTCTGCAATGAAAATCTACATATAAATGTCCTTACATTCATGTACAAGTCATTCCTAGAACTGGAATTATGGCATCATAGCTATGTGCCTTTTACTTCTTCAAGAGATATTGTCAAAATACAACAATGTATGTGAGTATGATCTTCTCAATAGTGTAGGATCAGGCAAAAGCAAAAGCTTGACTGTGAATCCAAGAAGTTTTAAAAATTTTATCAGTGGAATTTTTTCCATTTAAAAAACAAAATTTTTATTACAGAGAATTCTGAACAATAAAGAGAAATCAGCATGCTGGCCATAGTCCCATACATAACAAAATGCAAAGTAGATTTCTGTAAGAGCTATTTAGGAGAAGTTTAAATATTATGGAGGTGAAAAACTATGACAAACAATAACAAAATTTTAGTGAGGATTCTGGAAGTTAAATTAATATTTAAACATCAAAAGCTTTCATATATACCAACTACAACCAGTTAAAAGATAAAGTGGAACAAAAGCTTTCACTTACAGGAACAAAACTAAACTATAATAGGTAGCAATAAATTTAAGAAATGCACAAGATCAGTATGAATAAAAACTTTTTAGAAGCCTTACTTAAAGACGAAGAGGAAGACTTCTAACAGGTGGAAAGGTATTCCCTGTTCTGGCTAGCCATCGAGAACAAAATAACATTGTTTTTATTTACCCTGCTGATTATCCCAGACAGCCCTGTTGTACCCTCCTCAGAGACATCAGCACTGGGCGTCTGAGTCTCAGGCCCACAGGGTCCATCCTCTAACTCCATAGACATTCAGATAACCTAAGCAGCACCCCCTTCTTAGAGACCTGAGTGTAAACGCTAAAGGATCCCTCCTGTGAATTTATATATTTCAATAATTCCTCTTTTCAGTGTCCCACAGCCTCAATAATGGTAGCTGTTTCCCCCAGTTTATACCTCTGTAAAAACTTTAGTATATTATTTTGCCGGTTTAATATCTGTTAACAGTACTTTATATTGAATTCTGTTAAAAATAACTGGTATGGTTTCTGTGTCCTGACTAGACCCTGACTGATAGATATCTCAAACCCACCAGCCAGAAACTATCATTACTACTACGTTAGCATCATTCCAGTCTTCCAGCTTACCTGTCTACTTTTCCTTCTGCATATAAAGAGTGATACTAAAATCAATAAAAAATGTTAAAAAAAAAAGAAAGAAAAAAAAGAGTGATATTAATACCTTTATAAAAATGGGATTCTATTTTTAAAATAAAAGCAATAAATTTTAACTTTATTAGAATTTAATGAAGGAAAATGGACTAAGTTAAATGGAAGACTATACTAAATCTTTCTTTACCAAAAGAGAAATTTTTGAAAGAATTCTCTAAGACTAAGAAAAAACATCAAGAAAAATACGAAGTCGGAGAAGGTATGGTTTTTCTTTCTTCAATCCTATGTAGACTGACTTCCTGTTTTGAAAGTTGAGGATAGTATGGTATCACATCTCATTCTACTTTTTTCCTCCCTAAATTTAGCAGGGTATTTTCTAATCTCTAGATTCAATTCTTTGTTTCAGGTAAACTTTCTTTTTTCATATCTTTGAATACTTTTTATGTTCTATTTGTTGAGTGCTGTTTCAGGGATATTATCATTATGCTAGGGAAATTTTTAGCTCCATATCCATTAGTTAATCCTCTGACTACTCTGTCTTTTTCATCTGCACTTGATCTGTTTATTTAAAGCTTTTCTATTATGTAACTTAATTGTTACCTTTATTCTGCTTCTTATTTCTAATTTATGCATTTGTTCTACATATATGTTGTTTTAGTCCTCAATTTGTTTCCTTAGGTCTGCAATTTACCCTTCATCTCATTGTGTGTTATTATCATCTTGCCTTTGAGTTCTTGTTTTATTTTATAAAGTACATGTGGGTTATTTCCTTCCGTCTCATAGGTTATGGGTTCTTCATCTTCTGTATGCTGTTTCTTTTCTTTGTGTTTGTTAGCTCACTAGTTTGCTATAGTGTGTCTGCATAGTTATCATGCTTTTATTTTTATCTTGTAACTTTGCCCAGACATTTTAAGCTCTGATTTAACATGGATGACTTTGACTCCCTCTTATTCATATCTAAGACTGTTTGTTTGGCATAAGTGATATGCTCCATCTATTGAGATAACCATATGATGTTTTTCCTTTACATTGTTTTAATGTTGAACCCAGCCTGATTAGCTTGGAATAAACCCAATTTACTAATTTTTATATGAATGTTGTATTTATATGGACATGGATATTTTTACATGGATACACAAATATTCTCTTTATAATGCTTGCCTATGTCAGTAAGATTAGCCTGTTGCATTTCCTTGAAACATCCATGCTCTTAATTCTGAGGTTTTGTTAAATGCACATCTACCTAGTTGAGGGGTGCAGTAACCCACTAACATGGGGGGATTCCCTCGTATCCTCTGATTCAGTTGGTATCCCTGAAGCCTTTTTTCTGTCAGAGTCTTTAAAAGAAAAACAAAAATTTCCTCTGTGCACTCATTTTTTTCTTATTCAAAGGAGTGAGAAGATAAGACTACTCATTTAATTAATTGGCTTTTCTCCAGAGTTGGGGTTATTAGTGAGAATTCTCCAAACTTCATACATCATCAACAGCTTCCAAGGGGCAGAGAATGTTTTAGAAGCCTAAGCCAGTGATTCGCATTTCACTCTCTTCTAGATTTATGTTATTGGGCTGTGCTACTTCTCATTTGGTGCTGCTGCTGAACATTTTTGCTACTTTTGAAAAACGTTTTGGTTAATTTGACTTGAAATTTAAAAAGAGACTCTGTAAAGTAGCTTTGTTCTACCATCTTATCTTGAAAGTTTGTATCTAACTATAGCTATGTCTTTCACTTAATCTTCCTAAACAAACCTGAGGTAGGAAAATCATCCCCATTTTAAAAAAAGAAAGAAAGAAATGGAATTATAAAGGGGTCATAACCCTGGTCAGACAAAAGAAGCTATGAGAGGGGAGGTTATAGCTCAGGGGTAAAGTGCCTGCTTAGCAGGCACAAAGTCCTGGATTCAATCCCCAGTACCTCCATTAAACAAACAAACAAACAAACAAACCTAATTACATCCCACTCTCCCCCCAAAAAACAGATTTGTTTTAATATAGCCACACTAGTGGGCATGAAATGGTATCTCCTTGTGCTTAATTTGCATTTCTAAAATTACTAATCATATTAACCATCTTTTCATGTATTTATTGACCATTTATATATCTTCTTTGAAGAAATGCCTATTCAAATGCCTATTTTTTCAGTTAAACTGTTTGTCTTTTTTGTTAAGTTTTAAGAATTCTTTATACTTAGTATATACTTTATCCTTAGTATATATTAGAATCTTATCAGATACATGATTTGCAAATATGTCCTTTAACACACATAAGTTTCTAATTCTGATGAAGTCCAACTTACCTATTTTTGCTCTGTTGCTTGAATAAAACTAGGTTTATCTACTTCTAAGATACTATTTTGCCTCCCTAAAATCTTATGCATATACTGTCTTCCTCGGTGGCCCACAAAAGGCAAAAATGGAAACTTCTGGTTCAAACTAAAGGAACTCTTATCTTAGTATTATGTATAAAAAATAATCACTATGTTGTACACTTCAAACTAATATAATATTGTAAATCAACTATACTTCAATTAAAAAAACACAAATAGAGAAAGATATACACATTTCATTAAATTAAAATATAGTTGTGATCATTAAATTTTTTTAAATAAAAAAATAATAAAGGAAATCCTATCTTTTAATTCTAATTTGATGTGGTAATCCCATCTGAGTAAACGTAAGTAAAGAATTATAGAAAGATCCAGTCAACCCCTTAAGGTCATTTGTTCAAAACTGGATGGTTCAGGAATGACTAAGTCTATCACTAATTTATAACTATTCAGTAGCCTATATAAAATGAACTGATGAGTTCATATTAACAATTTGTATGCAGTTTTCCACAACAGTATATGCTAACATACTGAATACAGAGAAGTCTTGTCCTTGAATCTGAACACCTAGAAATTCTGATGAGTCTCATACAGAAAAGAATTAGCAATGGTCTCGAAGTCAAATAATAAAGTGGTCACATAAATAAACAAAGGGGCGAAATATCAAAGTCCTGTCTTTCCTAACATCTGTTATGGCTATTTCATTACAACAAAAACATAAATTAAAAAAGGTAATTCTTAAAAATAAAACTATTAACAAATAAGCTTCTAATCTAGAATATATAAATTACCATTCACAACACTGTTAAAACTATTGGATAACTATAATTTTACAATTAAAATTCTGTAATTTTAATGTACAGATGGACAAAATGTACTCTTAATGGTTAGTATTGACATCTCTGTTTACTTTCTAAAACTTTTAATAATAATTGCTTATACTTACTATAAGGCAAAACTCTGACATTTGAAATCATTTGTATAAATTCATTATTTCCAAGTAATCTGTGAGAAAAACCATGTAAAATTCTTTTTTGAAAATTGAATTTTATGGTATTAAATTTTTTTACTTAAGAGTCTAATATTTCCCTCAATAAAACAAATCCTGAAGTTCTCACTGATCTCTGTTGCCCCCCTATTGTTCATTTAAAGGGTTAACTACATAACACTTCCAGTGGCTCTGACTCCTGACCTTACCTAGGTCCTTCCTGCTTCTACCTGCAATACTGGTGGTTCTGTCATCTCCATGATGTAATAAGTAATGTTAGATCAGATTCATGGTCAGCAGGGCTAATTAGAATATACGCTATCA